TCCAAATATACTTAAAAAATCCACTTATTCGTACATGCTCGTCTTCGGAATCTACAATCAACGCAGGGCAGGTGCAGCAATTTGTCTCATTAAAAGTAATGAAACATGCCCCTGCAACTTTACCACACCATCGTTAAGTAGCCCACAATAAATTGAACAGTTTATAAACATTATAAAGAAAATAAGAGAAAGCAAGCAGTGCTCGAATTACAAACGAAAATTTTTGCAAACTTTTTACCAAATTCAATGTCGCCAAGCGGTGTTCCTGTGCCAACTGAACCTAAGCTCGATCGCTTGGACGGCGTCGAGGACGCAGACGCCGCAAGTCTCTCGACCGCATGGCGCTGCCTTTTGCCCTCAATCACCACCGGTTCATCAAGGAGACCTAAAAACATAACATCTTTTCCAGTACAATGAATCAAAAAACAAAAATAAAAAGAATGAACTAAAATGAGGTAAAGCTATCGATGACCCTTTCCTCCGCTGGATCCGGTCACTTATAGGGCAGCTTACAACGGTTTTGCACCAGCAAACGATCAAATTTCGATGACCAAACGGCCAATTTTCAGCTTGAAAGTAGCGCTAACGGCATGAATCGACCTATCCAATCCTCAGAAGTGCGTGAATTCTCAATATATAATTCTCCCCAGGCATCACTTTTCATCACTGTGGCCCTACTAACAGTCTTTACAAATCATAGGCAAAATTTTGTTTGAAAAAAGGACCTTTTTTCTTGGATTTCGGTGTTTTCTTTTTCTTTTCTTCGGCCTCGTCCTCCTCCTCCTCCTCCAGTTTGGGTGGTTGACCCGCATCACCGCCACTCTTCTCCTCGCCGCCACCTTCATGCTCCTCATCAGCCTCCTTACCGTCGCCTCCATTCTGTCTCTTCTTCGCCACTTTTGCCCCTTCCATACTCTTCAGTACCTCGCCGGGTTCCGAGTCCTTTCCAACTTCCACGTTTTCCATTGATTTCACCGTTTCATTTTCTCCCACGCTTTCGTCCGTCTCTGCAGCATCGCCTTTGTTCTGCGTATTGCTCAGTTCCACTTCCGAGTGCTCATCCTTTGTTATCTGTTCCTCATCCGGCTAGAAAACGAAGAACACGATAAGGATGCTTCCAAAAAAAAAAAACGCGGAACTTCCAGGAAGTCACGATTCTGGGAAAGTGAGATACCAAATCGGAGGCGGAACCCCAACATCGGAAACCTGTTACTATACATAAATAAGCAAAACGCCTAAATGAAGAGAACAGCCGATCACCAAAGTAAACTGTTGTTCAATATCACTGGAAAGCACAAGTAATTCGCCAAACTAAAATCCGGTACATCTCGCAGCACTGCAAATGAGTTTATCAAAGTCAAAAATCAAAAAGTCCCTCTTATTTCATCGTCAGCGAAATACAAGGCCGAATCAAGATTTGACGGTCCAAGTGGGGGCGCCGAGGAAGAAAGTGAAACTGTCAAGTAGTTTTTTTGCGGCCTTTTATAGGAGGAGCGTGAAATAAGCGGAAACATATCTTCTGAAGTAACGGCTCGCACAAACCAAAGGGAATTTGGAGCGGTTGAATTCCTTAACTTTTATGGGTGGAACTGGCTAGTGAATTGTGATAGTTGAGAAGACAGCTGGATTGTTAATGTGGTACAAATCTTAAGACAAGTTAAGATACCCGGGCGAGGTGCGAGGGCACCACTTTGCCAAGTGTAACCACCTGCTACAAAGAGGTAGTCGATGGCTCTTTTCACACAAATTTTATAGAAAAAAGAAGTTGATGGCGATTTTAACCTCACTGTGCAAAATATGGCGTATATGACTTAATGGACCGAAACGTCTTAACTCACTCTTACCCCCAACCTTCATTACCCTTTCTTGCTTTTGCGCACCCCATCGTCCGCGCTTCCAGGATTGATCTGGAAGCTGCAATCTATGGAATCAAAAGGAATCATTGCGAGGTACGTTTTCTTGGCAGCATAACGGAACCGAAGACATTCATGCAATAGGAGGTCTTAAGAGCATCGTACTAAGCCAATTTATACTGTGCCTGCCAAAAGAGACATGCTATTCATGCTAAATTCAATATATTCTTATGCAAAACTGTTACTTTTCAAACACAAGTACACAAAAAATCTTTGAGAAGCTGTGGTAATAAAAAAAAAAAAAAATAAACACTCAACTGAATTAAGGCCGGTTTTTAGCCGATATTCTTATTCTTAGCAATTTTCTCAAGTCAGGGGAGCGAGTACCGCATGCAGCGAGCTAGAATACTTGCCATCCCATCTTCTAACAAAAAAAAGCTCAGAGATCGGAACGAGAATACGATTTTCGCGATGCTACTACAGGATGGACGCAAACAAAGCCAGTTTCAGAATAAACCGCGAAAATTCATCTATTAGAATTACAGCCTTTCCCCATCCTCTTAAGCACAGAAAACTCGGCCGAATCCCACTGATAAAAGGTTTTGTTAGGAGGCACTGACTTCTACGAGGATGAAATGACCACTGACCACAAGCCATATAAAATTAAAAGAACTGACCATTCGCTGGTCGCCCGCTTCAGATTTCTTCTGCTCAACGTCCGTCGTTGCGCTCTCCATGCTCGGTATTTCACCTAGAAACCTTCGGCATGCCATAGTAAAGCGACCCAATGTAAGAACAAAAACAAGACGCTCGTAAAAACAAATCAGTGCCGAAACGCTTCAATAAAACTCGGAACTGGAAGATTCGCCTACTTTCGACGAAAAGTAAATATGCGCCACAATCTCTGGCTAAGAATGCGGATGGGAGGATTGGGTACAAACTTCACAGAATCGTCAATAGGTCTCAAAACGCTGGGATGAAAAAACCATGCATATTCCTACAGTAATATGATACT